TACTGTTCACTAACATCTGTCTCCGTTTCACATACATGCACAAAACGGTCATGGTTAAAATGTATAAAGCCAAAACATTGGATGAAATGAATCCCGAGAATCGGCGTGAGCTCTTCCTAAACGACCAAGGAATCCAAATGATATGAAGAGCCGTCTGTGGGATTGATCAGTTTGATTGTAGTCAAACCTTTCCGCTGAAGCTAGGTACTGTACCACATGCGCAGGACTAGCTGATCAGGTCGCATACGAATTCCTGGGCACCGCTTGGCTGGAATTATGTTTATGGTAGCACCCGAGTCCAACTGAAAACGTACCATCACGTCACCAACCAATAAACTTGCATAGATGCACTTCTTTGGTCCTGTCCGAGACACGTTGCTGATTGAATGTTCCGAGTAAGAGAGCGTTGTGTCACGATTGAATGCATTCACCTTGGAAGACTGACAACATTGAGCGAAATGATTCCGTCGGCCGCATCTGGCGCAAACTCGGCCCCGGGCCGGACATTGATCGCGATCCTTTGGGAGTCGCGCGGCGCAGAAGTTTCGCGTATTTTGATAACCGCCTACGCAGTTTTTCAGCGGATACGGCACATAGCTCTGCTTCAGTCGGCAACCGCATTTGCTGGATATGCGGTGCAGCTGAGGATTCACTGTGGCATATATCAAGATATTGTCTGAGCGATAACTGCCGTTGCCGCAACAGCCGCTTGGTGTGGTTTTCATCCTCAGAAGGATTCTATCTTGGATGAAACTGTCAGCCACACAATTGCAAAAATTACAGGAACGAGCCAGGATCTTCAGCTCCGTAACATAGTTCTCAATAGTTTCGTTTTCGTGCCGGTTTCAGGTAAAAAAAGATACCGCTGGTACGTCTCGTTAGTCTGGCCTTCGAGAAAATCACCGAATTTTCGGACGACAGTTTCCAGATTAGCAGGGTCCTCGTGCTTTTCGTACTGTGTCGTTTCCCACACGCGGCGTGCTTCATCTCCGATCGTATGTCTAAACATAGTCAATCGATACGCCATCGGTTATTCATTCAGCCGCACCAGTACACAGAAATCGATACACTTGCTTTTCCAGATCTTCCAATTATTGGCCAAAATCTGTTCTTCCATGTTTATTGGGGCAGACAGTTGCACAGCTGGCTGCACTCCAATCAGCAACTGAGCAGCATTGGATGATCTTGGCTTGGTTTTCTCTGACACCATGTCGCAAAACTCGGTCCTTCAGGGACAACAGGTTAATTTGGCATTTAAGAGATTCCTCGACGCCCATTTATAAATTACAGATATAGGGAGCGCATCATACTCGGATAAGAGGTAGTGCAGCTGCAATATGCTGCCACTGCACAGGATCAGTGACGTGATTCCGTGAAGGTGCTCGATCTAACTACGATGGAGCAACACACATCTATATCTTCTCGCTGTATAATTTCAGCATTCAGTTTTCGCTTTCTCGCATATCTTGTGTTGTGGCACAGTCAGGTGTAGTGTGTTTCTCACCTTCAGCTAATATGTAATAATAATGATGATGAATAATTCCGAAGAAGCAAAGAATATACATTAAAACCCATGGTGTTTAAGGTCTGATTGCAAAGCAGCAGCTGTATTACCAGGGAAGGAGTACGCCCATGGTATGGGTTTCTTACGCATGTTCGTTCGTACTAAATAGGTGCGCTGCCCAATGAGTCAGGAGTCCGGGTAAGCTGGTGTCAGACGTGGCATAAAGCAAAATAGGCGTTGAACATACGCGGACCATGACAGGGATGGGTAATTAGACACTCTAGAAACTGTGGTTGATAACCTGTAGCAGCAGGGCTTACGTGTTCTTCCAAGAAGGCCATCGCTTTTGGTAGGGATGTACAACACCGCAGTGTGGTCTGTGTTTCTATGTGGAAGAAAAACGGTCACAATGCATTCAAGATACTGCGGAACGATTTTCTGTTGACTGTCGGCGCCTAAATAGCATTGCCCAGATTTGGTTGAATCACTGGATGAAAGAGCGTAATGGTCACCACCGGGCGTTTTGCAACAGTTCCCCCAGCGAAGGCCCAGATCACCTCAAAATTTTTACCGTTCGCGGACGATATTAAGATTTAATGGGCGATCAATGGATTCGATGACCAAGAGATCCTCAAGCGCGACTTCGATAAAGCCTGGAACTGGTCAGCGAGGAACGAGCTAAGATTCAATGCGGATAAGTGTCGAATTGTTCATATCCGTCATCGACACATACATTTACAGGCTTGTGGCGCACAGTATGCAAACCACCTCTAAGGAACATGACCTCGGTGTGCTGGTACAGGACGATCTCGGTTGTTCCAGTCAAAATCTGCTCCGCATGTTGTTCCCTTGCGGAGGGCACTCGGAAGTTCAGACTTACCCATTTCTCTTTGATACTCAATATCAACGTGTGTCCCCACGTCAAATGCTCTACCCAAGCTTGACAAATTTGGCTAAAACGTGACCTTGCAGCGCTCGAGACCTCATAATGTTGAACAAAGAAAAATGTCAAGGGTTTGCGCGACGTTGCATATCAGAAACGGCTGAAGAAACTTAGTGGAGATTAATAGCGGCTATGTGGCGAACTCAATATTGGATACCAAATATTGAAAGATCCCAGTCACGTATGCCACTACCTTTTAAAACTTAGTCCGAACACCAAGCTGAGAGTTAACCGGTTAAAATTAAGTCAAAAATATAGTCGGCTAGAGTATCGATAAACTTGCTTCTCCGTCCGAGTCAAGCAACCCTGGAACTCTTTTCCAAATGCAACTGTCTGTGTCCGCACCCAAATCATAAAAAATGTTCGGATATCGCGCTCATTTCCCTACACTTTGCTAGAGGAACGGATTCCGAGGAGTGTATTTCGGCTAACTAACTGTTTGGAATTATAATTCACACTGACGCACGTAAATCAGTACAAGCGGGTGAGCGATCAGATTGTCCTCTATAATGAGTATTAACCATACGAACTTATCGTTCCTCTTTGAATGGTGCTATCTTATTCCCACCACGATGCTTCCGTCGCCCTGTCGCTTTATTAATGTACATTTTATCTTGTTAACTTGTGTAGTCTACGAACTTGCAATTCATCCCATTACCAACCTAAGGGACACGTTAAACCAATGCTTTTTTACCCATCATAAACCCTTATCTCATTGACAGCTGGTGTCGTATCTCCAAAGTTAACTTCATTGCGTTCTTTACATAATGGTTGACTGCAGACTTCGGTGTGCGCGTTTCGCACAATTCACACGGTTGGGTGAGACTTCTGAGGTGGCCAGCCAATGACAACGAATTCGATGAAATAATTATTCGAGGGGTTTAGTCGAGTTAGTACTCGCCGTTTTTCAAAGTGGGCACATCGGTCCTCCGCACCAACCACTGGACACCCCATTCGGCGTTGTCAGGTCGCAAAATCATTAGCGCGCCTTCCCATGGTAGCTTGTTTTCTATTGCCAACCGTACTAATGCAGCTATTTTTTGCTCTAGCCTCTTTCTGTCAGATGTTCGTTTAGCACTCTTACTTTTCCTAATTATTTTTATTTTTCCTTATTACCGCAGCGGTGTGTCTTAACAGCCAGATCAATCGTACCTGTGTTCGGCTTTAAGTTAATTAAATTGAACCGCAAGGAACAGTGGTGCCTATCGGCCAATGTTCCCGGAAAAGATGTGTTCGATCGTATCAGAGACATGATTGCGTTGCCTTCAAGGCTTAGGAGACTGAAACGAATACAAGTTTTCACTGAAATAATACTAGAAAGAATTAAATGCCACCTGCGTTCTTATGGTCATAAAACCACATATACAGAGGGCAAATGTTTCGTATAAACTCATATTCGAATGTCACATTCGCCAAAGGTGAGGGATTTCGTTCCAAACGAATGTAGGAGAAAGTTGAGACTGGGATGCATAAAGCAACAGCCCTTAAAAGAGGGGTGCTCACAATAAAACGCGTTGGAGTAACATAAAAATGTTCCCATACTTTGGGACAACACCTTCCCATGCGGTAGAGCTGAATGCGAGGAGTGCAGTCAAACGAAGTTCAATCGGGTGCTTAAAACTAAGCACATACGTACATCGCCAACCTATAAGTGCAGTTCGGAATGTCAAATGGAATTATACAACTCTCAGATAACCAAGTTGACTATGAATAGTTGGTATTAAATGCTAGGCTGGAACGCAGGGCGACAATAATGTGCAATAAGGGATTCTACTGTTTAAAGTGTAGCTTGTCGTTCCGGGCATGTTACTGAAGAGATACCGAAAGTTGCTAATAGCAATAGGAGTGAGGTCAAATTCCTGAACTAGTTTTCGACCGATAGACGAGTATACGTCAAGAAAATCTGTTCCATGCGAACTGAAAGAAGGCTAAACAACCAGCGAGGTTTACTGACAGTCGTCATGTTTGCGTAATCAACGTCGGTCTCTGCGTGCACTAGTGGCGCTGTGATGGATGGCTCCCGAATAATCGATAACTCTACCGTTGCCTAGAGCTCGATCATTCTCATCGGAATTGTATGTACTCCATCCGCGGTTCACAAATCGACACATCGCGTGGTCTGCACATTTGCTTTGCAACCATAAGGTCACCGGTTCGAATCCGCGTAGGGGTGGGCGTCCTCGCGGTATACTCAGCCCGCGCGCGACTGGTGGTGGTCGCGCGGCAGCGAAGCGCCGTTACGGCGTACAGCTGACACATTATTTATTTTAGTCAGAGATAAAGGGAATACATAACCTTAGAAGCGACCACAAATAAATGGAGGCTACGCGCTTCCTCTCTAAAAGACGAGAAACACAGTCAAGCGCAAAAGGGCTGTGGATTCTCGCAGTTACCACCACACGCTACATTCTGGTTCATGATAGTATTCTGCCAGGCGTAGAACAGTGGTAGGAAATCGGGCACGATGAGCCTTTGAGGTTGATGCTTTCATGTTAGTGTTACACAAGTGCAAATAGTTTTTAGATCCTTTGAAAACATCGAGAATCTATGGAGTACCATGGCAAAAACGGAATGTATTTTAAAATATACAAGGCACATATGTGAAAAGAAATTACTAGTTATCTAAAACACGGAGACATTCATCAGCAAACTCGATAAACAGAGGTTCCCGCATTGCTTTCTCCATGGCTAAATCTGGACGGTTTGATAGCTCAATATCTCTCAAGTACCTCCGCAAATGAGGGTTAGATAGTAACATCTTCAGGGTGGTTGAATGCTCTGAAGGGGAATAAACTGAAAAGGGTTAACTCACTTAAGAGCTCAAGTTTGCGAAGGGGAATGTAGTCCGTCCCAGAGTTTTCTAACTCAAGTGCCCAGACATCAAGTGAGTCCGAGCTGTCAATGGAATCTACATCACCGGAAGGTTCTGTGGGGTTGCACGCTAATTTGTGTTGTTTACAGCAGCTGATGGAACAACTTTGGGTGAAGACTTTAATTCCGCCAAAAAAGTACTTACTAAGGCGAGAGGCACTGAGGACACTTGTACTTACAGCTGGATGCAGCACACACAGTGCAGGAACCAAGTATTCCCATAGACAATCAAATAAATGTCACCTAGATAAAAAAAAGATGGACACGATCAGGGGTAGTGGCAAAATAAGTAAAAGGGCACAATAAAATCAAAGTTACGAGGCAGTTAAGAGTGTTAAAACAAAGCTCGCACGAGATTACTAGAACAAGCTAAAGGTGGGTGGGAGATTTAAAATTAAGAAAATCGAACAGATAATACGATGAACAGACGTAGAAACAGAGCAGTATAGTAGCATGAAGTGAATAATGCTTCAAACTTTAACCAAATCTTGCATCGGCCGCAGCGCAACTTATCAAGGGTCGCATACAGTGGAGTGGATAAGGGAAAACATGCTATTACTATCGCATCCTTTCTTTCTTTTCCACCCGTTTCTCCTACTCACCTCCCAACTCCCATTACTAACCTTCCTTCTATGGAGGAAGCAGGAGCAGTAGGCAATTATCGCAAGCTATTTCGACTGATCAGCACCACTGGTTCCAGAAAGCCAAGCGTCATAGAGACCATCAAAGACAGCGCGGGTGACGTGATTCACAATAAGGAACGCCGTGTGGCTCGTTGGGCAGAGCCATTTCGAGATCAGGTCAGTTTGTCCCCTTCCCCTGGGCCTCTTCCTATGCAATATGGTGCAGACTGACCCATGGCCCGTTAGTTTAGATGCTCCATCAGACGCCGAACCGGACAGTGACCTAAAGGCTGCCTTATAATCAGAGGGAGCGGGTTCGAGACAGCGTAGGGAAGCGGGCGATCTTCGCAGTATCGTTAGCTCACGCGCCGCAGCGAAGCGTCGGCACTGCGTACGCGCGTACTGCTGATACCTTTCACCGGAGACTGAGGCCCGAAACGTGATCACAGCGCTTAATCATTTTCGTACAGTTGGCCCGGATTCCCTCGCACCCGCACTGTTTAAGGATAGTTGTGAAGTACTCCGCAAAGTACTGACCTCTCTGTTTGTACAAGCTTGGAAGGAAGAGACCACCCCCAGCTAACTGGAGTCGATTGATAATAGCGGCGATATATGTGGGGCAATTGCACAGACTGTGCCAACCACAAGGGTATTAGCCCAACGCCTGTGGTGACAAAATTACTAGCCTCAATTCTCGTTCATTTTCACTACGGAACGTGATTCGAGGATCAGGGAAGAACAAGTAGTCTTACGCCCAGGACGGGGCTGTACAGAACACCACATATTCACTCTGCGGCAGGTGTTAGAGCAGCGCCATCCGTACCACAGGCCAACAACAGCTATGTTCCTGGACATCAAGAGTGCGTTCGACTCAATCGGCCGATCCATTATGTTCGAAATACTTGCGCGGAAACATGTTCCCATGAAATATGTGAACATTTCACGTGCCCTGTACTCGAACACAACAGGTCGCGTCAGGGTCTATGGTGAGCTATTAGATATTTTCCTGACAACAAGCGGTGTTCGTCAGGGTTGTCCGATTTCGCCAGTATTGTTTAATTTCGTCGTGGACTTCATCATGCAGTACTCCCTTGCGATGCAGGCGTAGAGGCGCTGCCTAGTAAAAGGCTAGTTGATCTTGATTATACAGACGATATTGTCCTGCTTATTAACGATGTTGGAGTCGTGCAATCAGTAATGAATAACTCCTCTAGAGTGATCTTATCATTTGGCATGCGCTTCACATCCTCAGAATACAAAGTGCTGTTACAGGACCACCAGCCATTTGATGTCCCCTTGACTCTTGATAGCGAGGAACTCGAGGCAGTTGATCATTTCACCTATCTTGGCAGCTGGATCGGTAACAAGGAGCACATATGACTGAAGTCTGTTCAAGTATTACAAAAGTTAAAACTTCCTGGATCTGCGATAACTGTGGCATCCGAAAGGGGTTTCCCTGTCTGAAAGGCCGTATTTACAAGGCCACAGTGAGGGCCGTCCAACTCTATTGGCCCCCTTCGATCTGAAACGCCTTCAAGTCTTTGATCATCGTTGTCTGCGAAGCATTGCTGGTGTCGGATGGCAGCAGCAAGTCCGCAACGACGATTTGCGTAAATGAGTGCCGGGTATTGATAATCATGCTGGTTCCTTAGTACAACAGATGGCACTGAATGTTGCGCTAGCTTGGGCAGGTGGGAAATGAAGTTATTGACGATTAAAACTCAGCGCCGTTGGTCCGTCTCGCCTTCCAGATGGGGTCCAGCTGACCCGCTTTGTGCTTGGATAAAGACGTTAAAAGCCATGGATCGCCGTCAGAACCGTTGGCGTGTCTGCTGTCGTCTCTTATTCGGACTGCCTGTTCGACGTTGGGTGGAGTTATCTGTGGGGTAATGACTGATTATAACGCGGCTCACGATAGCCCGCTGTTTGTGACGGTATGTTGTTGACACAAAGTGTAAGCGCCTTGACCCAGAATATTTGTTTAGAGCACTTTGAATTACGCTAGGTCCCCCTTCTCTCCCAGTTATTATTTTTCGTTCTGTAGGTCACAACGGTTGTACAGCAGGGAAAATCAGTTTAAATGACTGATGTACTGCTGATGATGATGAAGTGAAGATAATTGAGACGCAATATCGTTTAAGCTCGAGGGCTTCCAAAAGGACATGATTCAACGGCGGTTTAGTGGTGCTGGAGACCTTGAACAGATCAGTTCAGTTCGGATAAACAACCAAGCTCCGGACACGGATGCGTGGTGAATCCAGTTGACACGACTCGCATCGCCAGAAGAACAACAAATAACAAAGGCAAGAAAATGAGGGTGAGTATAAATGTAGTGTAAAAACATGGAACTAAGAAGGGGGTCAAACTAATCAGACGGGATGAAAAACAACGGCTAGATGCAACAAATTGAATGAACGCCACTGACTACGCCATGTCAGATACGGTCTCCAACCGATGCTGTGCACCATCCCGAGGCCCCCATCCACGAAGACGGCACACACCAGCCTGGGGGTCTCTCAGTCAATATTCCCATGCCTTTATGCCACGTCATCGACTGGCCGACTCGTGCTTGCGCCCAACTTAGCGCAGCCATGGCGTATAATGCAGGCCGAGGAAGCCGGTCGACAGGCATACGGAGGACATGACCTAGCCAACATAGACGGTTTGGAGTTAGCAGACACTCGAGTAAGGCGCCAGGTTTCTTGTTAAAAAACGCGTGCGGACCTCAGCATTGCTCACCAAGAGTTTCCATTAGACATGAGCAATACTCCGCAAGCACCGGTGGTCAAATACAGTCAGGCGTTTAAGGCCTTCACCATGAACTAGCCACGTACCTGATCCATACAGTAACACAGGCCTTATCGAAACGTTATAACCCTACTTTTCACTGACAAGCTGATATCCCGTCGTCTCCACAGATGGCCGAGTTTCTGGAATACCACACGGGCCCTAATGATGATGATATAAGTGATGTAATCACTAGAGGCTATACAGCTAGCAAGGTAAGTAGACCGATTCACCACTCCGGTGGCTGTTTGATAATAGCAAGAACCGGTGGCGTATCGGTCCAGTCCTGTAACAATACTTGCACTTCGAAGATGCAAAGCACATGCCGAAGCATACAGTGAAACGCACCAGCCTACACAGTAGTGTTTGCATAGACACTGCGTCAGAGCTTAGGAGAGATATGTCGTCAGTCGGTCGATTGGTGGTCTGTAGGAACTGAGCCATTCATGATCATTTCGATCACAAAGTTGAAGAGGAAAGAAAGTATAAGACAACTATGGTGAACCCCACTTGTCATGGGAAACTCAAGAGATAGCATCCCGTAGACCCTTACACGACCTCGGGATTCAGGGTAGAGTTCAGAACAGGGTGGAATTTCGCTGGGACGCCCCTCGCGAATAGGCAATGCCACAATCTGGCGCGGTCAACGGAGTCGAGGGCGGCTTATAATTTAATGAAAGCCACCATAATCGGTCGTCTGTAAGTGCGTCTCTGCTCAAACACCTGGGTTCGGTGCAACCACGACTAGAGCGGAAGCCTGGCTCTCAATGATTCGACTCGTCGAAGAATGATAAACGTGAGAAGTCTGGAGGAAATAGAAAGAAGGCTAAGGTCTCGATGATTTTCGCACAAAGTATGCTGACAAGTTGAAGAGAGGCAGTCGCCAGTCTGAAGGCACTTCTTTAGTGTCCCAAGTCGTGTTAAACAGAAGCGAGTCTAATCAACAAAGAGTCACCGTCTTCCAGAAAAGACGGAGAAAAGTCGATGGGTCTAGATTTGTTTCCTTTCAAGAAGGCAAGCCCATGTCGAATTTCTTCCGAAGTGGGGAATGCAACATCAACATTCCACGTCGGCTCAGGTGATTCGGCAAGCGGTAGTGTTGCAGCAAACTTGCTGAACTGATCTTCAAAATGTTCCACCCAACGGGCCAGACGACGAGGCTGAGAATTGATCATCAGTCGATCTTTATCAGCTGTTGTCTCAATGACTGAGAGCTCTTGGACCCGTGTTCCGGATGAGCTGGAATAGCACTCGACTGTTCCGAATAGCACTGATTTTTCCATCTCGCGGGCCGTTGTCACCTACCAAGGTTCCCAGTCAGTTGTAAGACTTCTTATCAGACGCCGTTTCAGTAGTTAAGGACATGCTGAAACTCTACTAATTGGAATGTGTTCTCCTGCTTCGATCAAACTGACCTTGTTTCAGAGATCCGTTCAGTCACAACATCTCAAGTTGTGCGCACAGCAGGTGTCGAAAGCATTCTTCATGGCACACTTAAGATGATCCCAGTCAATGTTCGGCTCACCAACGTCGTTCATCACTGGAAATCGGTGGGCCAACTCGTCGTGATATTTCTGAACTGCAAACCGCGAGTTCAAGTAACAAGTAAGGTTAGAAGTTTGGTGTTTCTGTGAAGGGGAAGAGTGAACGTCAGGCGTGCGCGCACTAGAGCATGATCATAATCCAGATCGACTGATAGTTTTGAAATGATTTGCACCATTTATAGCTGATGGTAATATTGTA